TTGTTACTTACTCAGTAAATGAGGTCGGTTGTACTGATACTACACTTCTGCACATTGCGTGCAGATGTTGGCTGTTGTTGTTGTTGTGCTCGATGGTTGCCGGACTTGAAGATGTACCTCGTTCCTGTTGTAGCTGCCTTTTGTTCATGGTAGCCTTAGATTTATAAAAGCTCTGTTTATGTATTATTCAAACAGACTATGTATTATTTCATTTTCGCTTTCTATATTCTATTTTTAGAAGCTCATGATTTGTACTACCAGTTCTTGGGGAATGTATAAGGTTAAGATAGTTATTTACTTAAATTTCTTTAATAATTGTTATTGGAATTGGATAGTTGAAAGTTGGCTTACCTAACGAGTTGGGTTAGGTGCCATCACGATTAGTTGAATTTTGGGTCGTGACATAAGCCAACTTCATTAGCCCAAGGTCCAAATGGCTATTAGCCCATCTTAAAGCAGGCTCATGCCATATGTCAAGTGATGTGGCGATCCAAGACAAATAAACGAGCCAACAAAATTATGCCATGTGTCAAATGATGTGGCAATCCAAATCAAATAAATGAGCCAATGAAATTATACCACATGTCAAGAAGGGTGGCAATCCAAGTCAAATTAACAACCAATAGAGTTGTGCCAAGTGTCTAGATGGTATTGGTCAGTTCAAACGGACCAATCAAATCGCAGAGCCACACCACTCCCTACAACTATAAATAGAGGTTTTCATAAAGCTAGAAGACACGAGAAGTGAACAAGAAGCAAGCAGAGAGCTCGTGGATCAAACACCGTAAATTTCTCTACAAGCTACAAGTTTAAGCACTCAAGCTACAAGATCAAGTTCAAGTTCAAGTTCAAGAACAAGAACGAAGCCAAATCAAATACCAAGGCGTTCAAGACCAAATTACTTGTTCATGATCAAATCCAAATTCAAGCTCAAGAAAGAGATTCATAGAGATTGTAACACTTTCATTATTGAAATCAAATACTATATTTGTTACGCAATTATCTAGTCTTGATTATTTATTTTTCTCGACGCGAAAATTCGTTGTTACAGTGGGTTTGAAAAATGAAAATAAGAATGAAAACGAGAATGGGTTTAGGGGTTTTAAAGGTTCTGAGCATTTAGGGATTTGGGAGTTTTAGGGTTTTGGAAGGGAATTGAGGAAAAAGATGCAATGATGGCCAAGAAAGAGGGCGGTGGAGTTCTAAACCAGAGAGAAGAAAAAGGCTTAGATGAACTTTTTTCTCCTCCTCCCTTTTCTTCTTCTTCTTCTCTTCTTAGTGGGCATTTCACTACAAGAAAATAGACCACTTGCGGAGGTTTTATTGAGGAGGTTTTTACTATTTTCACAAATTGTATCAATTTGGGGGGTGTCATTAAGTGACGCAAATAAACCCCGGCTACCGTAAAAATAAAAAAAAAAGAGCGCCTTTATTTTCTCCCACATTTTTTCCTTTCCCTCATTTTCCCAACCCTTCACGCCTTTAACCCCTTTTCTCCAGAAACTTCCGCCTTTAACACCTTTCTACTAGTCCCCTCCCCTTACTTTTAGTATTCATCCTGTTTTGTAAATCGGATATGGTAAATCGGTAAGTTTCAACTGATTTCATTTTCACGTTTTGATTTTTTTATTTGGTGAGAGACTTTTAGTTCCCAGTTTGGATTTGTTAAATTTTTAGGTGTTTATGCAGAGGGTTTTAGTGGCTTTGGAGTGAAGTGAATCAAATCTTAGCTGTTGAATCTTTTGTTGTGTCTGAATCAGACGGTTAAAAAGTGATCTTTCAGACGCCAGCAATGTGTATTTTGTTTTTGTTCTGGTTACCGAAAAAAGGGAGACATAGAGGTGCAATCTTCACATATGGCCTTCCGGTGAGTTTTTCCGCTCTTTTATTCATCTTTTTGATTTTTTATATACATAATTACTTGTTTATTTTGTTCCTGATGGGCCCTTTAATGTTCGTTCTGGATCATCCGAGTTTTATTCAGATTTGTTTTAGGATTTTAATATTTTTTTTCTTTGAAGGATATAAATTTATAAAACTATTCACTTTCAGTTATTGAATGAAAATGAGAGCTTGAGATTAATCTCACAAAAGAGTGTTCTTAATGACTCAAATAACATTTTTTTAGCAGTAAACAATGTTAATTTGATAAGAAAGAGTAATATTTGAGTTTCAGTTTTAAATGTTTGTAGCTTCGCATTTGAGTTTTTGTTGTATATAAACGTTTTTCTTAAAGTATTCAAGTTTACCAGTATAAGATTCTATTTTCAAAGTTGTTTTTATGTTATTGAATGAAAATGGGAGTTTTAGAGATTACTGCTAAGTAATTTTCAAGATCTTTTTAATTGCTCCAGTAACACTTTTCTTTATCAGTAGACAAGTGTTATTTTTTGTTTTGTTTTGCAAATCCACTAGGTAAAGAGCTTAGGGTTAGTTTGTATATATAATTAAAATAAAAGACACAAAGTCAAGAAGTCCTACAATGTGTATGAAATAAAATTTGCAAAAACACATAATCCCTGTTATCGCAGTTGAGATTAATATCTAACAGTGATAGTACAAAATGTAGTCTAATGAAGCTAAAATAAGATATAAAATTGGACAGTAAACTTCATGTCGTTTGACGCCCATCTTAAATGTCAAATCTTTGCAAAATTGGTTGGCATATTGTTGCAAATTTAGCCACGCTTGCTGTGTAGAGCACTGCCCAGCTCTCCTTTATGCCTACCATTAATCTCCCTTTCTAGGAATGAGCAAACAATTGTTAACACCACCCATAGAAGTTTAATCAATAAAAAGGGTGTCACGACCCAAAATTCATAAGGGTCATGATGGTACCGGACACCGCTGTCAGGCAGGCCAAAAATAAATACTTAATTTGATTCTCGTTTCTAATAATATTTCTGAAATCATATTTCCTTCAATTAAATAGTAAAAGATAAAGTTTACAAAATAAATAATAATATCTTTAAAAGTTCCAATACAGTGCAACCCATAATCGCCCAAAACCCGATGTCACAAGTGCATGAACATCAACTAGGAAAATAAAATAAAATATAACATCTGTCCAGAATACAAATTGGACAGGAAACTATAAATACTCTGAAGGAGGTTTGCTGGCTGCGGACTCGTAACGTAGAATGCAACTCACCTAAGTCATCGCAATAATCGCACCTACACAAAAATGTGCAGCAAGTGTAGCATGAGTACGTAAATTAACGCGTACCCAATAAGTATCCCGCGTAACCTCGAAGAAGTTGTGACGAGGGGTCGACTTCGACACTTACTAAGGGCCAACAATATGATAATATGAAAGTCTAATTAAGCAAGATATATATAACAATAAAACTCAGAACAAGAAATAACTGAGCAATTCATTACCATATTTAAGAACCCAAATCCCTTCCTTCATTTAAAACAAATGATCTTTCAAATAAAGAATTTATAACAATTATTAAAGGAACTTCATGTTCTATTATCGCACACAAATACCACCGAGTACGTTTGGCCCGATCTAATATAAATGTAAATTGTGCAATGTGAGAGTCGAACGGCGCGAACCATAGATGCATCTATTACCCCGCTCCCGGATCATACATGCGACACGGTAAAATATAAATTTAAGAAATTATCCCGCTCGCGGATCATACTTGCGACGCGATTACACATAGATTTCTTAAGTTATTATACGATTCCTCCATTCTTTTCAAAATACGAAATTCAAATGAAAACTTTTAAGATCCCAATTTTTCCTCAATTTCAACTCCTTTCAAAATATTTAATAAGCAAACTCAATCCCGCCCCTTCCCAAGACAAACAATAAAATTAAATCAATAACAATACCCACAAGGCATGATGTAAGCCTAAAATTACCCGGACATAGGCATAGCTAGTAGCTACGTACAGACTCTCATCACCTCGCGCGTACGTAGTCCTCACAAATAGAAGCACATAATAATTTAGTTCACCTATGGGATTAATTCCCTCTTACAAGGTTAGAAAGGAGACTTACCTCGCCCCGAAATTTCATAACCGGCTCCCAAGCCCTTCCAATAACTCGAACCGATGCCCAACGCTCCAAAACTAGTCAATAAACGTGCAAATCCATAAATACACACTCTAATACTTATTATAATCCAATTTATAACAATTTCTAACTCCACTTGAAAAGTCGATAAAATTAACCTCGGGCACACGTGCCCGGATTTCGAAAATTTTGGAAGATAAACCTTATACATATCACCATGAACTCAAATATATAATTTATTCCAAATTTCATGTCCCATTTCGTAGTCAAATTCCAAAAATACTAATTTCTAGGTTTTTCTTCAAAATCTCAAATTTCTATAAATTTTCATGTCTAAATCCATATATAATTCAAGTATTTAACTTGCAATAGGTGTGAATCACTTGCCTTGACATAGATGATGAAGATGGAGCTCCACAATTGCTCCAAGACCGGCTCCCATGGAGGAAATAAAGTGAAAATAGCCAAAATCTCGTTTTAAAACAACTCACTGCCCAGAAATCTCTCTTTGCGTTCGCGACCCTTTGATCGAGTTCGCGAAGGCCAGCTGACCCGCCCCTTCGCGTTCGCGTACCCCTCTACACGTTCGCGTAAGCCAAATGGCCTTAGGCCCAATACCAGAACTACCATACGGAGCTATTCCCAGACTCGGAATCCCAAACGGACATCGATAACATTGAAATACACTTCAACCCAAATTTATAAATTTCTTTCAAAATGCCAACCTTCCACAATAGGCGCCGAAACGCTCCCGGGCCATCCAAAACCCGATCCGGACATACGCCTAAGTCTAAAATCATCGTATGAACCTGTTGGAACCTTCAAATCTCGATTCCGAGGTTGTTTACTCAAAATCACACTTTAGTCAATTCTTCCAATTTAAAGCTTCCGAATTTAGAATTTTCTTCCCAAACTAACTCCGAACTTCCCAAAATTCAATTCCGACCATACGCACAAGTCATAATATCTTCAGTGAAGCTGCTCAGGGTTTCAAACCACTGAATGACGTACTAGAGCTCAAAATGACCGGTCGGGTCGTTACAAAAGGCATCGTCACGGTAATGTTATATTTTGAATTGTCAAAAAGTATCTTATTGTGCCTTGGTTCTTGCCCTTTCCCCGTTCCCAATCTAGCCAGTGCCATGAAATGGTCCTCCAACGCGCATGCCATTACTTGTGCATATTCATTATCCAGTATTATTCCATAAAAGTATTCCATGCTATGTGTGTTTTCCCATGTATATAATATTCTTTGAATACATACATGCCTTTTCCTTTGCATAAGTTGAACGAGCAGTTTTATTACATAGTACTGCTCCACTCCTTGTGTATTTTATGTTTGTGTCTATCATTGTCCTTCCTTCATGGGAATGAGCAAACAAAAATCTAGTCAATGAGTAAGGCATGGCCTCTATTGTGGACTTTGATATCTATGATGCAGCATATGGGGAAGCGCAAGAGTTGCTTGCCGGATATTGTAAATTACTGGCTATTGATGGCAATTTCTTCCCAATTAATTTTAACATGTGGTCAGGACCGTCAGGTATTCCTAAAATTTATAAGGAAGACTGCTTTGAAACTATGCTAAAGGTATTACACATATGTCTATTTATTGTAACTAGATTTTTATGCATGTATAGAAAACTAACTTTATTTTTCTTTTTCATTTGAAGCCCCGGTTCTTTTTTTAGGACTACCAATGCCATTGCATATAGATATTGAAATGCTAGTTTGAATAAGAAGTGGGCTACACATAGACATAGGTTGTGGGATGAATTTTATGACCCGGCCAAAAGCAGAACTGAACTTTTAAGCAATGTGCCATCAGGTATAAATAGAGATCAGTGGGCTAGTTTTATTGCTTATCGTCTAAAATCATCAACAATTGTAAGACTGGTTATTTGAATAGATTTTGCTGTCGTTATGATTAAATATTAGAATAAATTTTTAAGTTGTTATTATTTTGTTGATAGGAAAGTTGTAGAAGAAATAAAGAAATTTGACGCAAGCAAACAATGCCTCAGACTGGTGGATCCAAAGCTAACTCGAGACGACGACATGAGATGGTATTCATATTAACTTAATAATTTTTACTTGTTCTCTAATTTAAATGCTTTATTACAATCTGTTTGGTTTATCTATTTCTTAGTTTTTGGAAACTGGAGAATATCCTACTCGGGGAAAGATGTTTATCGAAACTCATAAGAGAAATGATGGATTATTTGTAAATAATGAGGCAAGGACTATAGTAGTAAGTTCAGCTTTGGTGTGTTTCTCTGACATTATTTGAAGTTTTATTTTAACATTTTACATCTCAATCTTACTTTCTGTACATACTAATTGATAATTTGTTTGCGTGTAGGAACAAATTGAATTGACTCAAGGCAATGCCAATGAATCTAAAATTTTCTCAGATGATATTATTGGCAAGGTGTTAGGGGCAGAGCATTCTGGAAGGGTACAATGTATGGGTATGGGAGCAGCTCCTTCAAATACATCCAAGAATATCAAACAACGACTTAACGGGCTGAACCATTCTTCATCTAGCTTCGGTACATCATCTGCAACTTTCACTTATTTACAACAAGAGGTCACTCATTTGAAGTCCCAATTAGTAGATACCTTACAACACTGAAAGCTTACATGATATCAAAGGAAGGAAAAATTCCTGAACAATTTGTTGGTCTGTTTGCTCCTCAACCACATGTAACTGAATTGTCACGAGGATATAGTCCTCATCTTGGTCATAGCTAGATAATTTTAAGGAAGCATTAAAATTTTAAATATGGTATAATGGTCAGATTTTTTATCTAAATATTCTTTCTATTGTTTCAAGCCAAGTGATGATGCACAGAGTGAACCTACCTCACCGGTTGATGAAAGAGGATCATCGGGCAACAGTTACCAGAATCACCAAGCAAATACTGAGAATGTTATTTATTTAATGTGGAACTACTATTGCTTTTATGGATTTTAAGTAGTAATGTGTAGGAGCTACTTTAGTTTATATTGCTTTAGTATGATTTGTAGTACTTGAATTTGTGACTGTTGCTATTGTGGATGATTAATGAAATTTGATTGTTGTTATATAATGAGTATTATTTAGTATATAATTTCTTTGTTTATGCATATGCTGATACAAGCTTGATCTTATTTAATCGTGTAATATTTAATGAGAAGAAAGTGTATTTTAATATTCAACTCGTGATGGTAATTAACCCCCCACAAATTAAAATTTATGAAAGAGATTATATTGTGGAGATTATACACCCAACTAATTAATTATTTTTAATATAAAGCTCACATTGTGATGGTTATACATTGTTACTAAGCCGCCCTTAATTGACTTTAAAACTCCCACTAATCACAAATTTAATTTGCGGAGGTNCCCCATAATTTAATTTGTGGGGGTCCAAAACTGTTACAAAATTAAGAAAAAACCTCCACAAATTACACCTTTTCTTATAGTGTTTGGACATAACAATTGTGAAATTCTGGGAAAAAGTTTTAAAAAAAAAAAAATGAAAATGGTATATGAAAATTAGAGCTGTGTTTGGACATCAATATAATTTTGAACTGTTTTTGAATTTTTGTGATTGAGCTGAAGTGAACAATTTGAAAAATAATTTTTTGAAAATTTTCAAATTATCGAAAATTTTCAAAATTCAACTTCAAGTGAAATTTGAAATTTTCATGACCAAAAAATGATGCCGAAAAAAGTTTTAAAAAATTCCAAAAAAGTAAAAAATTTCTTATGGACAAACAGAACTTTAGTTGATGTGAAAAAAAAATGACGGTGGATCTACGTATTGTTGTAACTAGGCTTTAAGGTGTTTTATAGTGCTTTATAATAGTGAATTGGTATGGCGCTCCTATTTTTGTTATTGCTTAGGGTTTTTTCTTCTTCCTCTTAATTGCAAAATGGATTTGTTATTATTTTGACTAATTGATGATTGGGTTTTGCTTTTTTATAATATTTGAAAGTTATGTTTTATATTTGAGCTCATCTGGAGTAGATTGTGTGTTGAATTGTTGAAATTTGAAGAACAAAGTTTTTATTTCTGGAAAATTTTCACTTCTAACTAAAAAGTCTTAAGTGCATGCAAAAATTAGCTGCACTTCTGACCAATTAAGGATTAAGTGCATCTTAAGTGCAATTTTGTACTTCAGACTAAAAGCATTTTAAGTGCATGCAAATATTAGCTAACACTTCAGACTAAAACACTCCTAAATACATCTTAAGTTTGCATCTTCATACGCGAATTTTTCTAACTTCAGACTTAAGTTAATTTTAAAGCGGGTAAACTTGCAAATTTTTATACAATAAGGGTATAGCTTCAATAATGACCCAAATATCGGATATATATGCAAATTCCCGGGCGAATGATATTTACTTTTTAAAGAGCCCAAAGGTTCGCTTTTTTCTTTTACTGAACACAGTACCCCATAATGTTAAAAAATTACCTCCCTTATGGTTATCAACAATGTTATGAAATAGAATTAATTTTTATGTGAGTTGATTGTGTAAAATCTAGTGATTAAGACTTAAACTCATAAGATCTCGAAATAGCATAAAAGATAACAAACCACGCCGTGGCTACAATAAATTCAGTGCCTAAAGAGAAAAGAACACTGAGCAGGCCGAAAGATTAGATATGTTGCGCGGACTTTTTAAAATGTTGTTATATCTTTGTTGGATCCTTAAAAAATACAATATTATTGGAAAATCCAACACGCCCCCAACGACATTTTTGGAGAGTCCGAACAATATAGGCTAGGACACTGCACCTTGTAGAGTTAGTGAATATAGTTTATTAGTATGTTGCACCTTGACAAAGAAGTATTCCCATAGTCTATATACGGATAAACCATGTGAATATAGTTTATTAGTACGTTGCACCTTAACAAAGAAGTATTCCCATAGTCTATATACGGATAGACCAATGTGTCTATCTCTTCAATAATTACTGTTTATTGCTTGAGTTTGAATGAAACATATCTTAGAAAAAAGATATCCAGTCGCCCCGGTGGAATACATTGTATACGGTCAAAATAGATTTCGGTTTTTCTATGTTCGATCAAGATCGAGTGGCATGAAATCGGAGTAGGATTTTGGCAATAAGATCTGAAGACGGTACAAACGAGCCTCGAGCCCGAAGACTGCTCGAGGAGTCGGCTCGATAATCTTATCGAGCCCGAGGTATTGCTTCGAGGTCGGAAGTGCATCACGCCCACCCCGAAGGTCGAACTCGAGCCAAGACTGAAGGGCCGACCCAGTGATGGGTTCGAGCCAGTATCGAGCTCACAGACAAGAGTCATTACAATCGCACCAAGAGAGAGAATCTTGGCGGGAATCGAGGAAGAGACAAATCATCATGGGTTCTCCACTATATGCTTTATTTTATTATTTTTGTTATAAATAATGTAATGACCCTCTATTATAAAAGGGGGATCCTTGTAAACACTGGAGCCGGGGGGGAAAGATTGGAAAACAACAGACCTTTTCTTATAGACAAAGATATCTCCTTATACTTGTCTTACTTCATCATATTTTCTATTCATCATTCTCATTCTCATAGTCAAAATACTTGTATTGTTATTTTTGTATCAAAGGATATTACATATCCTTAGAACCATACATAAATTTAATATTATCCGATTTTTCGGGTAAACAGTTTGGCGCCCACCGTGGGGCTAAAGATAACGGTGATTGTTTGATATAAACCTACAGTACACACCAACTTACAACTTCAAATCAGGAATGGCTTTACCTATCGACCACGAAGCCGGCCTTCAAGATGAAACCAACAACTTGGCACCCGGAAGCCCCTTAGATAATGGCACTGAGGTTCGAATCGAAGCACCCGAAATTCGAGCCGAAGTACCATTGGATGTCAATTCACAAATAGCTCTAGAGGCGCATCAACATTTCAAACCGGAAAGAAGAATCCAGGGCGGTACCCGATCCGTAGCTGTCACGCCCCAAACTAGGGGAGGCACGACTGGCACTCGATACTGTATTCGATCGAGTTAGCCACTAAACATACTAGCTAATTAGACTGGGGGCCCAACAGATCGGGTAGCACAATATCTGAAATACTAAGCCTGGACCGTAAGGTTATGACATGAATAGCAATAAGCCATATAAACATAGGTAGACAAGCCAAAATAATAAAATACTAGCTGGCTGACGAGGCCACGACTGAAGACATACATTCCTACACACCTATATATACATGCCAAGACTATGGGATGGAGACTAAAAGCAGCAAAAAGAAACCCAGAATATTGTGTCAACAATAGCCTCTAAGAGTGTCATAAGCACTGTCGGGATAAGGCCCCAACTATACCCAAACTGTACAACAAAAGTAACCATCCTATGAAAGCTCCAGGAAGAGGTGGAGCTTACCAACTCACAGCTGAACCCCGAAATCCTAGCAAAGGGGTCGATCAGAGTCCCTACCTGGACCTGCACGCATGAAATAAATATACAGTGTCCCCAGGCAACGGGACATCAGTACGAATAAAAATGTACTGGTATGTAAGGCAGAAAGTAGAATCATACATAGCTGATGTAAAAAGGTAATAAAGATACCACCTGACACTGAAACTCTTATAGCCTCCATGGCCGACATCCGACCTCATAGTAATAAAATATGCATGGTATGCTCGTGTAATCGTATGTCGTGAATACATATATATTGATGTAAATGCATGATATACCTAACCAAATTCTAGCAATGGCGGTCTCTCCCGGTAACTAACCGGTATCATATTGCCAACCTGTGGCCATCTGTACAATATATGTAGTCTTTCGGGCAAATAGGCCCCTTACCTCCGATTATAGCTCGAAGTCCATGCATAATATGTCATGTATGATATGAACTTTGAATGCACATAATAGGCCATAACAAGAACTTAGCCAACCTTGGCTCATTGGTACTCTTATTCTCATAATCTCATAATCACCTTCGTATCGCATACAAATGTCTCGTGGAACCTCATATCTTTTTTAATAAGTTTGAAAACTTAACTCGACTTTTAGAAAGATAACTTAACTCTGAATATGTTCATAAAAAGCTTAAGGTGCTTCACTTAGTCCTTATACCTGATTTCTTGATAATTAGTAAAAGAAAGTATTTCAAAAAAAATCAAATGTTTTAGTAGTTTAAACATAAAAATTATATTTGAGAATTTTGAAATCGACGTGTCACTTTAGAGATTTTAAAATACACTTTAACAAGGAAGAAGGACTGATCGCAAATACTAAATGCCTTTATTTTTAAGTCACACAACCCAAAGACGAATAAGAATTCATATATATGGACATATATTTAAGAAAGCCGACAAAATGACATATATAGATGTCGAATACCCTTTTTAACCGAACGAGTGGAATATCAACCTAATAGCATCATGAAAATACTTCAGCTACGATACCAATGCCTTTCACAGAAGGTCTTTCTAGCAACAGAATAGTAAAATATCACATTCGGCGTCTTAGGAATTTCCCAAAATTCGTGCTAAAAGGAAGGATGAAGCTTAACCTTAACATACCTCTCCAACGAACGTCCGAATTCCTGTAGTTCCTTCACGAAAGTTGTTCCTTACGTCCTAAGCTTCGAAACCACTATATATATGCAGCTTATACGCACTTATAAACAGTTCATAAATGAGTTTATATCGGCAGATTTGCCATATGACCCTAACTTGACGAAACGCCGGTAGAACTTTGTAAAAACGATCATAAAAGAGTCCCAAGATGATTACCTTGGCAAACCAAGTATAAATCCTGAAGAACCAGCAAGAACAACAATTTTCTATCTTCCAAAAATAGCTCCAAACACAGCTAATAGAAGGGGAAAATGATTGCAAAGCGTAGAGATTGCGCTTCTAGGCACGGGGGCAAACTTTAACGATAGAAATCGTTAAAAACGCACCTTAATCACTCAAGAACACCATGAAACCCTCTCTTAAGCTTTCTCACTGTTTTGGGACGAAGATGAAATGTTTTGGGGTCTTAAAAGTCGGATTTTCCGACTTATACCACTTGTTTGACCCGACCCGGTTCGCGACCCGATTTCAGC